TTTTTTGACTTTCATTTTTTGTTATTATATACTATTTTTTATAAATTTCTTTATTATAAAACATATCGATGTAGGCTGTGCCAGCAGTATATTTTACTTATTTATGTTGGATTACTTTTATTTCAATCTATTTTAAATTAAATTTCTCTTCATAAAATATATATATAGGACAATTTTAATGTATTAGAGAGGTTTGAAAAATATTTTATTATTAGTTTTTATTTGATTTACCTTTTGTAGAAAGAACAATTTATTTAATTTTGTATTAAATTGTTGCACTTACTCTGAAAAAATAAAAGGCCCTTTTAACAGTTTCTAATCTACTTATTATAAATTTCGTCGGCTTGACTTGTATAAGACTAACTATATTGGTATGGAGCACCACATATAAACCTTTACAGACTTAATCAGTGAACCTCAAATGTAGGGCTTTTATAGACATTGGAAATTTTTTTCATTGGGCATGATTAGATTTTTTTGATAAAATATATAATTGAATAAAAATTTAGCCAATTTTAAGAAACAGCTATTCGTAAATGGCGTCACTAGGGAGGGTCTATTGGTAGAATTTTGGAGCCTCTTAGGCAGGATCGAGCCGAAAAAGGGAACTCGAAGAAAACAGATCCGAGGTTAATAAAGCTGCCCTCCCATCCCCTTCGCTAGACAAATGAAGCCGATCCGATATTTTTAAAATCGTCCATTCAAACCTTAAAGCCCGAAGCAAATCGAACCAAGCCTACAATTAAAATAAAGATGTTGACCACTTCAGATATATAATGTAATGGAGATAAAGTCCATCTATAAGTCCTTCTAGTAATTAAGAAATGCAGTGAGTTTGACTCAAGAAGTAGGTTACCTTTTAATTTTCCACCCTTAAGAATTTGATGAGACAGATAAGGATTTTGTCAAATTTTATAATTTTACAATTGACCTGACTCAAATATTAAAATACTATCTGCTATTAGGGCTCAGAGGCAGAGCCCTGACTGGCATTCGTTGTTTTCAATTAGATGAAGAAACGGAAGGAGCAGAGGTGATGTTTTTTAGCGAGCCTCGCATACCCCTTATTTTTTTATTATAGAGGTACCTCACTCCTATTCTGGCGCGGAACATTGTGTTGCCTCTGAACACAGTGATGTAAGCTAGCAAAGAGTTACTCGACTTTTTAATCGGTGACGGTTGGGAGATAGGTTTTTTTTACCCCTTTCTAAAAAAAAAAATAACCATATATTTAAAGTCATAAAATTAAATCGATTTTTAAAAATAACTATATCGTTTAATTATGAGGAGCATAAGTATATTTTTTTTAAAATTAAAAACGATTATACTAATTTTAAAGGTGTCAAACGATTTACCTTTTTTAAATATAAATTTTGCCTTATAAGATAATCTTTATCCCAGTATTTATATTGCCATTTGGATAAAATTGTTAAAACTATTACAATCAATGCAACTCTGAATACAATTACTTCGACCTATTGGAGCCCTCCTGCCTAGATTATTCCTCTATTTACCAGACAACTGTCATAGAGTAGGGCCGTGATCCCTATGATCTGGTCTTAAGGTAAATCTCAATAGGTTAATATTTTTACATATATGTCTCCAATCAATATACTTAAATTTTAAATTAAGAAAAATGAATAATTACCAGATCAAATAAATGAACATAAAATTCCGCTACCTTAGCCAATAAGATATGTTCTAGTACATTCATCACTCATAACGATTGGGCAACAACCAGGATTGGTGGGACAAGGATATAAGAAAATATATAATATCCTTATCCCCGATGGGTCACATGTGCACAACATCGAATAATGAAATACCTATTAACATAATTTTATATGTCAACAACTAGGGTATTAGGAACCGTTTCTATTTTCCAAATCACATAGAACCACTTTAGATTACATAGTCAATTCAAAGATGTCCATAAAGGTTTTATATTTCAATAACCGTGAGTAGAAATTCAATGAAAATAATTGACCTTAGACATATATGTGTATTTTTTATTTTTGTAAATATATTATGCAAATTTGCTTCATTATTATAACTTTTTATACAAATTTGTAAAATCAAAATTTATATTTAAATAAAAAAGAGGATCCATTTTCGCACTTTCATTTCAGATATAAAAATGTCAAATAATTATTTGACAAATTTGATTAAAATTTTCCTGAGATGAAGTTTTTTCTACCTCAAACATTTAAACATTAAAGAGTTGGGGGTGGGGAAGGTAATATTATCCGTAAAAAATTTAAAGGCTATGATAAACCAGACAAATTTTCGGCAAAAACAAAGATTAATATTTATCAGAATAAACCTATTTTTAAATGTAGCGCTCTACCCCAATCGCCATTTGTCAAAAAAAGTAGCGCGCTATTAGCTAATATATTTTAAAAGTATCCTTTCAAATTTTTTAGGCTACGTTTTATAAAAAAATTTAGAAAAAAATTTGTTCTTTTGCTTATAATGTAATTGCATAATATATAAAAAAACAAATATCCTATATATAATCTCCATATTCAAAATATGATCGTTAACGTATTGAATGTTATTAAAATTTTGTTTTAGACCTATTGGGGCCCTCCTACCTAGATTATTCCCAACTGTTATAGAGTAGTGCGCGATCCTTATAATCTGGTAAGGTAAAATTAAGATGTTATAGGTTAATATCAATGACGTAAAGGGGGAGGAGGAGCCCCCTCAAAATTTTAAAATTATTTTTATACTAATGTAAGATAATGTTAGCTAAAAAAAGATAATTTTGGATAATGTTATCTAAAAAAGAGTAATTTTGAAAATTATTTTAAAATTAGATTGTAACATTAATACCAGAGACCTTCGTGGTCGTTGTTTTTTTGATCAGGCCCGCAGTAAAGAATTTTTAAAGGCCAAGACCAATATATAATATTAAAAAACATTCCCAAGCTCGGCCTATATCAATTTAATATATTGAATGAAAATATATTTTCAGTGTATTTAGGCAATAATTTTGCTTACAATACTAATTTATTTTAATTTCTTTTTCCTATCCTGCTTTATTTATTCTCAGTTATACTATTGATTATCATAATTTCGCGTGTAAATTTATAAACAAGACATTGTCAGTTTTTATACTTATCTTATATATATAATTTTAACTTTAATATAATTAGATCTTCTTTAAAGTGCCAATTAAGAAATTTAAAATACTGTCTTATACGTCTATGCAGTGGCGTAGCTAGGAATATTCCTTGGAGGGGGTCCATACATATAAAAGCTGGGGGGGGGGGCCCGTTTGCCCGGCCTTCGGCAGGGTTTATCTTACAAATCATAACTATATCTTCGATAATATATAATAAATATATTTTTTAAATGCATCAATAATATGTTATTATAATTTAGTAGATTATTCTCAATGACTTTATAATAATACCATCCAGAATAATTTCAATAGTAATATAATATCCTTCCACAAACATCAAAACCAGAAAAATATAATTGATATAAAATCACTTTTAAGTCTTTTGAACGTATAATCTAAAAAAAAATTTTGCTCTGGGAGGGGTCCAAACCCGAAAACCACCCCCCGTAGCTACGCCACTGCGTCTATGCCTCATTCTCTTTTCGAGGAAAAAAATAAAAAATAGTTTTGACTTGCGTCATTCCATTTTTTTAAATTTAGTTGTAAGTTATCATTACTCGCATAAAACTAGCTCTTTTATTTGTGGAATAAAATAAGAAGCTTTGACTTGTGTCGTTCCGTTGTCGAAAGGCAACTGCCATATTTGTCTGTTGACAATCCATCCCTTCAACCTATTGAACTACCTAAGCTAGCCGGCGTCCAAAACTACGCTAGACCTTACGCAGCAACGTTCGTGTCAAGTTGCGATCATGAGGAGGGATGCAACAGTAATTAGAATCGTTTTGATATCATTTAATTACTACCTCATAATGTTATCTGGAAACTAGAAGGCAACCCAGGCCTTAGCTGTTACCTACTTTTTTCTCCTCTAAAATTATTCAAGCAGATCTTAGCTCTCTTATATAATAACCTAACCCACATCAAGGATTACGCCTAAATAGTCTAAGACGTAAGATCTTAGGGCTAAAATCTGTTTACCAAAGGATTATCTAATGTTAATCATGTTTTCAGGGGAAAAAAATTTGTAAGCTATCATAATAGTCTAATCATGAAACGACTAAGCAACCCAGACCTAGCCTATACATACTATTCTATCCGCTATGCATACTCAAGCAGAGCCAAAAAAAAACAAATATATTACATAAATTGATTTTAATAATAAAACTTTATTTTAAATAATATTTAAATTATATTGTGTTTATGATTACGAATTTAATCTTAAATTCTGCCATTATTTTAGTTATATACCAATACTACATATAATTGTATCTATGATTAAGCAGGACCTTATACGGCTCGATTCGATTTTTAAAAATGACTAACTAATTATTATATCCAGAAAAATATTAGGCCCGCCTGAACCTGAAGATTTTACGCATAGATGACACAAAGGTTTGGACATCTATTAGCGGTAATATCTTTCTAGCTAAAATATTGAGTTAACTATTTTTAAAAATAGGTCTACCTTTAACAACACTAGTGATCTAAAACTATCAAACAGATTTACCTATCAAGTTTTTTTTTATTCGATTCGGGTTTTATTTCTTATATTTTATTTGTATTATCCTTGCTCTTTCCCCCTTTTCACTTGATTCAAACAATTCATGGGAAAAAAAGAAGATAAGGTTACGTCATACGTAGCAAGCTAATCAAAATTTCCAATTTTATTCGTACCAATTTTATTCGAGGGAAAATGAATTTCTTGATTCTGTTTTGCCACTTAATATTTTTTGTAAAATCAACGGATATTTTTTTACCAATAGATTAGATAATGAACCGTATATTTTTTTCAACGAAAAATTAACGATTTGTGATATTTTATTAAATTATTTGGACAATAACAAATACAATAATCAGGAACTTACAACACGATTAAGCATAATTTACAGATAATGTAATTAATTTTTACAAATCAAATATAAAAATTATATTTATGCTTGCTTTAAAATACTCTAATTTCATTTTCATTTATAAAAAAAATACTATTTTTCCGCTTCTTTCACCAATTTTTATTAAGAGGATGTTCCGCCGAATACTCGTTATGCTTTAGATTGAACTCGCCTATTCTTCTATAACTCTCATGATTGGAACCATAAAGCGTTACTTTGAAAAAATATGTAGATGTAAAATTAAATTTATAGTAGAATTCTTGCCTGGTAATTCTTTCTTTCTCTCTTAACCTATTTCCAAATAAAATCGGAATATATCTTCATTTAATTGTTTATAATAAAATAAATGAGTCATTTATCATCTTCATTATATATGCCTGTTTCTATTTGAATCTTAAAAGCTAATACATTTTCTTTTAAGAAAATATATAAAGTGTCAAAAATTAGTTAATTTCTTACGTTCGGTCATCCTATCAATGATAATGGTTAATTTTTCGATGGAATGGCGACAAAAGGCGTGTGTCATATCGATCTAAAATAAAAGGGGAAAATTTTTTTATTTATTTTTAATATTCTTTTCTTTCTGTTATTTATTCTTCGTATTATTGATTCATCCAAGTTCTAGAGCATTGAATATATTGTTAATAAAAAGAAATGAAAAGTTGAATAATATAATTATTCACTTCTAAATCACAATTCTTGAGCCCTATAGATTTGGCCCTAGAAGAACGAGATATAACAGCCACCATTGCGAATAATTCCGCGGCATATTCTGCCAAGTATACCAATATAGTTTGATGGTGCAATATTTCCTTTTTTGAATAAAAGTATTAATATTTTTTAATTCTGAAAGGTAAAAATAATATCCTTTTTTTAAAAGGCATTATAAGTATTATAAGAATAATTCCCTCTCCCATCACATTCTTTTTTCCTTTTTGCATTCTATATTTATGAATTTCTTTCTTTCCTTGTAAATCTTTATAAGGTTATCTACCCTAGCGTGCACTTGGAGATTACGTCTTAAGAGCAAATGGAAATCGTGCAAATAGAGGGTCAATTGACGAATAGGCACGGCTAGAGTTGGGTGTACGTGGGCCAGGAGCTCATCTCGATCACGTGATAGCTTGGGATCCCCTGCCTCTGATAAGCCAGTTCGCTCCATCCAATAAGGGAGGATCATCAGCCTCAAGGAATCAAAGAGGTGGGAAGGGTATAGGTGATAACGACGTACCTTAAATGTTTCTATATATTTTTTTCATATTTTAATCTATCAATTTTTTTCTTTCTTATTTTCTATTATTATTTTCAATTCACACTTTTTTGGAATGGTAAATAAATAAAAAATAATAAATAAAAGGAAGAAAGGATAGTATCCTCCTTTATATTACATATCTTATAAAGGTAATTTGATTTGTGAAAGGCAATGAAAAAATTAAATATAATACCTTCCACCCCCCCCCCCTCGTTGCTCCCTTAAAAAATAATAAAAATATTATTCAAAAAAATTTATGAACTTTCGCATTCAAGTGGTAAATCTAGAACTCGACTTTTAATTCCTCGAAGAGCGGCTTCTATTTTCAAAGTGTCAGAATTTCCCTTTAAAGGTGATAAAATAAATATAAACGTGGCTTGATTATTATGGTGTTTCTGCATTTTAGTCGAAATTTAGTATAGAATTCGTCTAAAATCGTAACCCGATCTTGAGCATATTCGATCAATAATACTATTTATTCCGTTTAAACTTTATTTTATAAAACGGGTAGTGAAGGATCATCTGAAATTAGTTTTTTTCCAAATATATAGATTGAATCGGAAACTATGGGAATTAACATTATATTAAATATGTTTCTATATTTATTTATTTTGGACCGTCTTCAACCAAAGAGTTAGAGGCTAAAGAAAGGGGCAAAACTATCAACACGTGTCTAAAGATAGCGGAATTCTGTTACTCCGTGGAATGAGTGTCATTACATTCGGTGGCTCATTGAAGTTAAATCCTACAAGATAATAACTGAACGGATAGCTCTCATAGTAAACAGGTTTATTGCATGGTCACGTAATCCGTGGCCTTTTGGTGAATAAACGAGGCTATAGATGGGGATCTGGCAGATTTTAAATATGTAATTATATCACAGCCTAAGCAAAGGCCTAATGCTATTCGAAGTTCTTGGTTTGGGATGGTTTCGAGCCATTCATAGCCTAAGCATAAGTGGTTGGTAACTTTGAAAATTATTAACTTGATTAATAAATTGGATAAAAAGTATCGGGATTCAGGGCGAAGGAAGAACCTCATCAATGAGCAAAATGTCGATGTAAGGCATGAATAACTCGAAGCAGTTCTAAACTCCAAAGTTGATTTGCTTTCATCCAACAAAGAACTTTGAATAGCAGTAGGCCTTCACTTTGGCTATGATATAACACCTTCATCTTGTATGCTAACTCCCTATCTATAGCTTCGACATCATCCACTACATTGTCGCTTATCAAAAGGCCGCCATCTCCGAGATCATGCAGTAAACGCAATTATTGTAAGAGCTCTCCACTTAATTAACATCATGCCAGCTTTAGAACCCGTGAGAATAAACTTCGATAACAATACTAGGCATAGTAGAATAAAACTCATTCTATAGAGTAATGAAACCCCGCTAGCTTGGATTACACATGTAGTGACTGTTTCGCGCCTCATCATATTCATTCTCATAGTTTCCGACACAATCGGCATACTTGGATCTCAAAAATTGAGCTTATTTTCAGCTCTTCGAGAAGGATATTACTTCAGTCAAAGGATATCGATAGAGATATGCAGGTCACACTGCTTATATGTCCACGATGCCCTCAACTAAAGGAACTTTCTTGTGTTATTTTAATGATTTTCATTCAATGTATTTTTATATAGATCCGGTCTTGTCTTTGAAATTTGGACCAAAACTTTAATTACTAATTAACAGCCTCAAAAAAAAGAAAACGAATCTTCCAATAATACATAAGTTTAGTTAAGGGTCATGTGATTTCTTCGAGAGCACTAAGAGTAATTTAAATGTTTAATAAAAATAAGGATCAATAATTTATTACTTCCAAAATGGACATCATTTTAAAATCTCTCCAAGTCCTTTGAATAGGTGAATGCGACAAAAGTCCCTCCCTTCCGTACACCTTAGAGATATTATCCAAACATTCAAAAGCTTTGTTACCATTAAAAATTCGTAGCAATGTGTCCTCAATATGGGAATCGTAATTGAGGTAATCATCTTTCAAGCCTAAAAAAAGTGGGTAAGGGATAAAAAGCAATGAATGAAGGCGTTAAATGATCAATAAACTCGTGTGGCAGAGATTGAATACCTGGCCTACTCTATTCTTACCAGGGTTAATAATACGTAGAGTTTGAGGAATCAAAAAAAAAGATTTAAACAAAATAAAGGAAGGTAAAAAGGAAATCATATGTTTTAAGCATTTATTATACTGGCGACTAGATAGGTCAAACTTTCCATGGCGTATAGATCGGCTGATATTTTACCGACTCTATCTTGAACTAAGAAATAATCTGAGAGCTTTCTGTCGAAAGACTTGGTGTGATTGCATTTATTTAACATTTCATCTGTTATATATATTTTTTTTGAAAATAATAATTCATTAATAATTTGTAAAATGTATTTTTTTCTCATTCCTTTAATCAATGGCATCGTTCAAAGTCCTATCCGATTGGAAATGAGCAGCGGCTCATGGGCCCGGCCCACAAGATATTTAAAACAAAATGTGGGGCAGGTCTCGATTATTCCGTAGACCCGGGCCGACTTGGGTTGAAAATTAGGGTAATTTTTAGGAAAAGAATTTTTATTTTAAATAGGAAGTGGAAACTTTGACAATGAAACATCACTTCTCTTAAAACCTTAGAAGAAAACACACGATTACAGGTGACTCTAAAGTATAATATTATTTATAACAGATAACATCTAAAAAAAATATGCAGATCTAACTGCTTATCGATCCATGTTTTAAAAATTTATAAAAATATAGATTTCATCTTAATATAAATTTTGAGAGTATAATTATCTACCGGTCAATTTTTTAATGATTCCAGTATAGAGGATGGATGTAGCGAAACGTGTGTTGGATAGTATATCTTGAGCTAACTTTTGGTATATAAAAAAAGGAAATAAAGCATAAATTATTATATATATTGTTAAATAGATTTATTCGCATATTTTTGCTTTATAAGAACATTTTTTATAATAGTTCTCGGCTATAAACCTAGAAAAATGCCGATAATTACGCATTAGTGCATCACTGGTATAATTTAATGCCATGATTGCGAATCGAAATATCGACATATTTTAATTATATTCTTTTTTTACAAAAAAAAAAAAATTTTGTGATTTTAAATTAATATTTTGCAATGTAATCCCATTTACATATTTCATGTTGAAATGCATTGTATAAATTATATTTGAAGTTCTGATCTATTATATATATATATATTATTTTATTTTTTTTAAATTAAATGGTGTATTTTCTAATATTTTTTGAAAAATCAGCAAATTATAAATAATTTAATTTATGAAGATTATAAACTCTACTTAAAAAATGAATTCGATAGTAAGAATTTAAATTAAGATTTTTACATGTACATTTATAATATAAAAATTTAAGCAATGAAAATAAAATAGGCATTATTTAAGTTTATATGCGCCATAAAGATCGGCTAAGCCCGGTCCGTTAAGAATTTTGCCATATGTTATCTGCTAAGTTAACATTTTACGTAAAAAAATTAAATGAATTTATGTAAAGGAAATAAAAAATTAAAAAATGTAACTTTACACTGTATCCCAAGCCGGGTTCGCTAATTATATTTTCTCTCGCGACGATAACTCCATTAAAATGAACGTCACAAACTATATTTTTTTGAGATAATTTACAAAATAATGATATTAAGTATTGAAAGAATAAAATAGAACGAATAATGGATGATAGTATAGAACGAATATGGATGATAGTATTTTATTATTATAATGTCTTTTTATATATAAATATTTTGATAGAATAATATTAAAAGAATATATATGGCATTATTAAATAACAAATTTTATGAAATATATCTGATGTCAAACTATAATCTAAGATATAGTGTTGTGATGATTTAAGGAAACATATTAACGAATAAATTAAAACCCATCCATATAAAATTATAATCTTTGCATAATTAAAATATAGACAAAGCATTATTGAAATTTCTTTTATTTATTCCTTTTGTTATTTTAATTAATTTACAAAGATTATAATTTTATATGGATGGGTTTTAATTTAATCGCCAATATGTTTTATTAAATCATCACAACACTGTAAATATATATATATTATTTTTCGCCTTAAGTCAAACATTTGTCAAAAAGTAATATTAAACGTAAATGTAATTGAATCAACACAACTTAAAATACATAAAATAAAATGAAAACAATTAAGTTGTATCATTACAACATGCACCACTTCCAAAAAAAAATATATATATAAATAAGTATTGACAATACAAATGGTAATACGAAATAATTTTGAGAGAATATCAAAAAAAATAAGAAAAGTAGTGATAAAAACACTCACATGACATGCGGGAGGTAATTTAAATGCACTTTTATAATATTATATGGGTCAGGTCAGAGGATTAATATGCAACAAATACATTAAATTTGTGAAGGGGGAAAAAACATGTATTTTTATAAAATTTGCTTAAATAATATTCTATGGGTCAGAGGATTACTATCCAACATATACATTAAATTTGTGAAGGAGGAAGGGGGGGGGGGGGGGGTGGCAAGTATTGTTATAAAATTTGTTTCAATAATATTCTATAGGTCAGAGGATTAAGGGGGGTTCGAAAACATGTATTGTTATAAAATTTGTTTCAATAATATTGAGTCAGAGGATTAATATGCAACAAATATATAAAATTTGTAAAGGGGGGGGGGCATGTATTGTTATAAAATTTGCTTCAACAATATTCTATGGTTAAGAGGATTACTCTGCAACAAATACATTAAATTTGTGAAGGGAGGGGGAAAACAAGTATTGTTATAAAATTTGTTATTCAATAATATTCTATGGGTCAGAGGATTAATATGCAACAAATAATTAAATTTGTGAAGGAGGATATGAAAACATGTATTGTTATAAAAAAAAATTTCATTATCTAAAAAAAATAAACAATAATTACATATCGATGGGATAAGGGCTATATAATTGAATTAAAACAAAAAAAAGTGAATAATTGAAAATCCAATTAAAAACCTCTAATTTGATCTATGTGGACAATAACTATTTTATTATCTATCTGAATCTCCCATATGACATTACTAATTCTCCCACTGACAATCCCTACACGCCACTTTTGATTGTTGCCCACCTTTACAAACACAGAGTTGCCTAAAGTTAACTCTCTAAAATTTATTCTTTTCAATTTAGGTCTACAATCGCAGTCATTGTCTTTTAAAAAACTCCACTTCCATATCAAATCCCTTCCAAATAATATAAAAAAATGGGATGATTTAGTTACCGAATGTGTGGTATTACGATAATTTAATAAAACATCTTCTAATAACCTATCACCCCAGCCATCTAATTTATATATCATATTTTTTCAGATGTACCGCTCTTTCAGCCATACCATTTGAAGAAGGATGGTTCAGCCATACCATTTGAAGAAGGATGGTATGCAGGAGTACAAATATGTGTTATACCTTTTTTTATTAAAAAGATTTTAAAATCAAAAGGCCTAAAAGCTGGTCCATTGTCGGATACCAACTCTACTGGATGATCAAATCTGGAAAAGACATATACAAAATTGCTAAACAACTGTATAAAGATGAAAGAACTGTTTTGGCATCTAGAATTGATTTCATTAGATCGCGGGCCTACTGAATCCGTAATGAGCTATTTAAAAAATATAAAGGAGCTAGTCCGAAGATGCGAATTTGAAGATAATGTAGAACTAAGAATTCGTGATCAATTAATCGCCGGACTAAAGATGTCACAACTAGATAAAGAACTACGTTTAAGATACCCAGATACTAAAGACGAAGACCAACCGTTAAGCTTAAACAAAGTTGTAGAGTTGGCTTTAGCGATGGAACGGGCTGACTTAGAAATAAATAGTACTATTAAAATGGTATATAAAATCAAAGAGACGAATAAACATAAGATAATAATAATCGGATAAATCAATATGATAAAAATAATCGGCAGTATAATAATAATGATAATGAAAAACGGCACTATCAAAAGGATACTAAAGCATATGTAAAAAGAGAACTAGTGCCAGGGTATAATAACTACCACACAAATAATAATAATAATTCGAGAAAATCATGCTATTTCTATAATCGGTTTCATGTTATTAGAAATTGTATAGCCTACGGAAAATTGTGCAGCAAATGTAGGAAACCAAACCACTTCGCTGTATGTCGTATATATATATAGGAAACTAAAATAAAGTAACCGATTGTTTTGACTTTTAATCCCGCATTTTGTAATTTTTTGAGGACTTGTTTTATATTTTGTATATGTTCAGTATCATTTTTCCCTGTGATTATAACATCATCTAAATAAACTGCTGTATCTTTACATCAGCCAGTAAATCGTCCATATATCGTTGAAATATTATTGGTGCTGTAGCTATACCAAAATGTAATCGTAAATAGCGGTAGTATTCATTTGGTGTTACCATTGTTAATAATTCTTGCGATTCTTCGTCAATGCTCATTTGTAGATATGTGTCTTTGAGATCTAATGTTGTATATTTATTTCCATTAGCGGTCTTTGGATTAATTCTTCAAACGTTGATAGAATGTGATAGTCTTTTAGTAGATATTTATTTAATGTTACTTTGAAATCTCCACATAATCGTAGTTCACCTGAAGTTTTGTTACTCTTGTTGTTGATGGATCTATTTTCTTTATTATATTATTTTCTTCCAAACGTTTCAGTTCATTTTCAATTTCTAATTTTAAAGGCTATGGTACTCTTCTAGCTGGCAGTGCAATTGGTTTTGTATTTTCTTCCAATTGTAGTTTTACTGGTTAGACATTTTTTTATTAATCCTAATTTATTATTAAACACCGTAGCAAATTCTTTATATAGTTTGTAAATATTCACGTTACCATTATCATTATATTTATATCTATTGTTGATCATATTGATTTTTACAATTGTTGGTAACGATAAGTCAAATTCTATAATCCATGAAAATCCAAATAGGGCTGCATCATTAATTTTTGTGACTAATAACGAAAACCATATTTTATCATCTAATTGTACTTTTACATAAGCTTCGCCCATAATTTTTATTCTATTATTTCCATATGTAGTTGGTGACTTAGCCCTTCTAAGTTTTGGCCTTCCAATTTTATTCCATATTATTACATTAATAATGGTTACTGCCGAGCCCGCATCATATTCCATTTTAATTTTTTGGTTGTTTATTAATACCTCAATTGTTGGATGTTGTCCATATTTGTATATTTTTCTTATTGAGACATCCGAATCGTCGTCCTTATTATTGTAATTTGTACTGTAAATTTTTTCTTTAGTTTTACAACTAACGGCGAAGTGGTTTGGTTTTCTACATTTGCTGCACAATTTTCCGTAGGCTAAACAATTTCTAATAGCATGAAACCGATTACAGAAATAGCATGGTTTTCTCGAATTATTATTATTTGTGTGGTTGTTATTATACCCTGGCACTAGTTCTCTTTTTACATATGCTTTATTATAGTGCCGTTTATCATTATCATTATTATACTACCGATTATTTTTATCATGTTGAATTATCCGATTATTATTATCATTATGTTTATTCGTCTCTTTGATTTTATATACCATTTTAGTAGTATTATTTATTTCTAAGTCAGCCCGTTCCACCATCGCTAAAGCCAATTCTACAACTTTGTTTAAGCTTAACGGTTGGTCTTCGTCTTTAGTATCTGGGTATCTTAAACATAGTTCTTTATCTAGTTGTGACATCTTTAGTCCGGCAATTAATTGATCACGAATTCTTAGTTCTACATTTTCATCAAATTCGCATCTTCGGGCTAGCTCCTTTATATTTTTTAAATAGCTCATTACGGATTCAGTAGGCCCGCGACTTAATCTAATGAAATCAATTCTAGATGCCAAAACAGTTCTTTCATCTTTATACAGTTGTTTAGCAATTTTGTATATGTCAATTCATCCTACCTCCTCCATTGTCCTAAGGATAGAGTAATTTTTTGAGAAAGAAAAAAAGAAAGAAAGATAATGTTTATTCCACCATAAGCTATAAATAATTTGTTTTAAAGTGGCGTCAGTTTGAGGAATATTTTTCACATTCAGTATGTATTTTATATAATCAATGTAGTCATCGATGGAACAATCTTCTTTTTTAAAATCCTGTAAAACTATTATTTCTAAAATATATTATTCTTTTTTATAAACAAAAAATTTTTATAATTCTATATATTATTAAACTTGACCGAGGACCGAAAACTGCGCGACTTATTTTTATTTTTTTTAATTTCGTCGCCATTTTTGTACATTATATGATAATCATATGCCAATAATTTATAAGCCCAACGTAATAATCATTGGTTTGTTAAGGAGTTTAAATCTCTGTTATCACCATATATTTTTATTAAAGGTTTGTGGTCCATTCGTAATTTTCGCCCATACAAATAGTTATGAAATTTTTCTACGCCGTTTATTATGGCTTTGACTTCTTTGTCGATTGTCGAATAATTCTTTTCAGCATCTTGTAAAGTTCGAGGTGTAAGTTATATTTGGATTTCCGTGGTTTATAGAATTTGACTTATCGTTACCCATAAATGTAAAAATCAATATGATCAACAATAATATAAATATAATGATAAGGGTAACGTGAATATTGACAAACTATATAAAGAATTACAGGTCATCCCGGTATCATCAATGAAATCCATTACGAGACATTATATATGGTGGGAAAAATTAGATAAAGATGTCGAAAAATTAGTCAACCGCTGTATTGGGTGTCATAAACATCGCAGAGATATACCAGAAGTTGCCGTATACCCGTGGAATCCGCCAGCACAACCATGGGAAAGGGTACATTTAGATTTTGCCGGATCACTAGACGGATTTTATTGGCTGGTAGGAATCGATGCATATTCAAAATGGATAGAGATCGATAGAATCAAAGATACCACAAGTAAAAATTTAATAAATAGATTAGAAAAATGGCTTACCCGATATGTTGTTCCACGTCAAATTGTCACAGACAATGGTCCACAATTCATTTCAAATGAATTTTATAAATGGTGCAAAAATAAGAATATACAACATATAAAAACTACACCCTACCATCCGAGAAGTAACGGATAGAAAGATGCAAACAAACTATCAAAAATCGGTATTTTGCAAATAGAGAACAAACAAATGATGGGGAAAAATGCCTAAATGAAGTATTAGTTGCATATAGAAATTCCGAACACTCCTCAACGGGCCGAATACCTGTCAAACTATTTATGGGGAGAAGACTAAATACTTTATTAGACTGGGTGAAACCTTTAATTACTGAAAAATTAGAAACCTCTGTAGTAAAACACGACCAGTTAAACAAAGGTCTACATAGATATTTTGGAGAAAACGAATTAGTTTGGATAAAAAACCCACTTGAAAAAGGATGGCAAGAAGGAAAAATAATAAATCAACAAGCAAAATTCTCGTATAACGTAGAAGAAAAAGATAAAATAGTACGAAAACACGCAGACCAACTACGAATAAGGGAAGAACCAGTTGAAACCAAATCAAACATAACAAAGTTAGGAGAAGCTAAAACAGTAGAGCCAAGTCAAAAAGGAAGGCAAACGCGATATCCAACAAGGGAACGAAAGCAACAAAATGATTAATAGATAAACTTGAACTTGGTAAATAAAAAGATTGATAGACGATCTTAACTTAGTGGGAAAGAAGATATGTTATATTTGAGTATCTATATATTTTAAAGGTTACGTTATATATTTTAAAAGGACGTTATTTGTATATTATATTATTATAACTTTCCTACATTTAATATTATCTTATGGAGGGCAATGTAATTGCATATTATTAGAAGTTAAATGACATAATTATAAAATACTATATATATAGGAAACAATTTAAAATAAAGTAACCGATTGTTTTGACTATAAAAAAAATGATACCTTACGAGATAAAATTCTACATTCTAATCGTTTCCTTTTATTTAGAGATATTATTATCGAATACCAAGAAAGGCTATATATTGTTTGTCAAATATTACTAATTTAAAATTTCATATATGTAAATTAAGGTAAATCCTCTAAATTTTAAACAAATATATCCTACAATAAGATGACCAGATTTTTAAAAAATTTATATAAGAATTAATTAAGTTCATTAGTAATTTAACACCTTATAATTTTCTTTCTTCCCTTTTCTTTTTCGTAATTCCTAGTAGTCAGATATCGTCTTACGCGATTACAGCGCACAATTTAGCGATCGTTTGAAGAAAGAAAAAAAACGCAATCAACACAACAAAGAAAATTGACATTTTTTTTCAACGCATGTAAAATATATTTGTTATTGTATTTTTAAAAAAAAAAATAATTAAGCAAATATAACATTTTATACCGTTGAAGCCTTTAAGCCCAACCATAGAATAGGGTTGACTTACGGAAATGCTCGTTTCGGGATGAGGGGTTTTATTCCTGTCAATCAAAAATGCTACCAATTCATCGCCTTCAGTTTTATCTGTAGTAGAAGAGATATCCTTGAGTGTTTAAAGCATTTTTTTTCGAAAAAAGGGATATATGTCGGTAGGAGTTTTTAGCAAATTAGGGACTATGTTTCTATTCGTTATTGTCTTAGGATTTTAAAAAATTCCTCTTTGTTCAATTTGTTATAATTTGTTTAAATTTTAAATGATATAGACTCTCCCATACCTGGAATATATTTTTTTACTGGCAAACGTCCTTAAATGTTCCATCTCAAACTGACATACTTGTCCATTTTTAAATTATTTTTGGGAAAACATAATTTCTTTAATAACAAAACAACTAAATTTTATTTATCTAATATATATTATTCCTATCCAATATCTGGTAACGCTTTTAACCCCGTCCCATTCCCCCACAACCTTGTCGAAGAAAGCTTGGAATAGATTTTTATCAATTTTTAAAAAAAAAAACTAATAATAATTGTCTAAAAAATAGTATATTTGTATAAATATCAAGCCTGCAAAGGCTAAGAATTTCAAGTTCGCCCCAAATTTGAATGTTTTCTATCAAGCCAAGCCCGGGATTTTAACAATTTCCAATTTTCGAGCAGGGTCCGTATTTTCACTTTTGATCATTTTCCAGTTCAAAATTTTTTTCATAAAATTTCGTTATTTTGAAAATAATTTTGGCTATATTTTTCAAATTGTTTTAAAAGGGAAATCGAAAAATATGAGAAATAAATGAATATCAAATTATCCATTTTAAATGTTCCAACTGATTATTATTTAATATCGGTCTGGCCCGGATTTTAATATAATTTTTCTAACCCCAGCCCAGAGTTCTGCAATGGGCGGATTTTAACCCGAACGTCCGCCCGCCTATTGTTTTTAAAAAAAGTTAACTCGCTGGCCCGTCCATCCATGGTTTTCATAAATTTACCCGCCCGCCAATTTATAATTTTTTAACATCCTCTCCTTCCGCCTACCCAATATTTAAAAATCATTTTAATGGCCGATTTGGCTCTTTATTTGTTTTAATTTAATGTTTCTTTTAATCAAGCTTAGAAAAAAGGCATTATTATGAAATAAATAAAAAATGATTTTGAATAAATAAAAGTCTGTTCTGCTCATTTAGCCTGCAATAAAATTTACTATCGCTACACGCCTAATGTTTAAAATCTTTTAGCCCACCCATTGCAGGCCTTTACTCCAACCTGGCTTGAATTTTTAAAATTATAACATTTTTGGGCCCATTCCAGGACAGGTTCCGGGCCTACAAGTCTCTGATCAATATTTACTTATTTGAAAAAAGGTAATAAATCAAATCATAAAAACTAACCAAATCCTTATCGATATTTTTTTAAAAAATAAGAAAATCCCTTGAGAATTAAGGGTAATAACGGGAATATGTTTAAATTAAAATCAAAAAAAAAAATTTTTTAAACATTTTAACGGTTATAAAATCATCAATTTTAAAAATAAAAAAAATATTTATTAAATATATGAGATTTGTTATAGTTTTCCGTGGGATAATTAACGAATTATAATATTTTTTTTAAAAAAATATTTTGAACAAAGAAGTAAAGAATGAATTTGTCAAAATTCTAGGATTATAAAGAAATTTCCTAAAAACCTGGGTCTATATGAAGCACAATCCCGAATTTGCTATTACCCCCTAGGAACATATATTGGTTTAATTAAAAATAATATGTATTTTTCCATTTCATTTTATTCGTTCATATTTTGGATCACAATCAAACAATTCCTAAATTAAAATAATGTTAGGGAATTATTTATGGGGAGGCCTCAAATAGTGAATTGTTAAATGGCTCCATTTTAAAAAAACGGCTAACTCAATAAAAAAATATTAGGCAAGACCTGGAGATTTTGCTCATAGATGGCAGAAATGTTTAACGAAATCTCGAGGCTTGTGTAATATATATTTTGGCTAAAATCCCAATTTAAAATTAGATAAATGGAGCCGTTTAACCAACACAAGTCTCAATAAAAGATGGAAAGTTTTATATAAATATTTATGTTTCAACTTGATATAAATGGCTTTTCTTAATGCGGGCGAACGTTACGAAGACGTCAGATTTATTCGCATTACTGACCCAAGTCTTTTTGCCAGTTAAAACAAATTTCGAGTCATCCCCTGTTAGAGGAGCGGCAGTAGTCTCAATAGAATTTATATCCATACCACTTATTTTATTTTTAAAGTAAAAAAAATTATATAATTGTTTTTAAAATGATAATCTTTGTTTAAAAAATAACTATTATTTTTAACCCAAACAAGTATCTTTTATTTGGATATGTGCTGCATATATTATATTAGCTTCTAAGCCCAAACTAAAAGATTTTTTTAAACAATAATATTATAATTGATAGTTTATGTATTTAGTGAGAAAAAAATCATTACAAATGTACTAATGTATTGTTTGAAGTCTCTTCCACAGCTAGATTAAAATTAGATAATTTGCATCAACATCGAAATTCAATAAACCTTCAAAATTTTCTAGTATACTTTTGACACAATATGTAGAATTGGGAAAAATTGATTTCAAGTGACAATATTTAAGTGCTATGCAGCTTTCTTTTCAATTAATTGCATCTTATTTAGAAATGAATACAAGTGTTTGGACTCAAGGCATCTACTATAAATATATGTTTTATGTAGGTTCAAAAAGGAAAGTCAAGAAAATTTTGATAATGTATTAATGATGTGACATAATAAATGTTCCCAATAAAATGTGATATAATAATTACTAACACAAAAATATCAATGGCCAGTTTTATGGATTTCTGAAAATGGTATAATTTTTGGCCTCAGCCCAGTTGGAATTTAGCTTTTGCCCAGCCAAATTTTTGTTCAGTCCATTTCCAATTTTATATTAAGGTTACCCAGTCTGGCTCAATTTTTTTAAATATAAGGCATAACCCAAAATATATGTAGTTGAACACATAAATAAGCAAATATTTATAATATTGGGGAATGGTTAAATCAAAAACACTATAATTTATAGATTATCACATCTATCAAATATCAAAATTTATCCATAATCCTGCCAATATTCTGTTGCCCAGCCTGGTTCATTAATTTTTTTGCTTGACCTGGCCCAATTAAAAATCTTCAGGCCAGGACAAGCATTGCAGACCTCCAATTCTTCTGGCAAGCAAAAAATTATATTAAATAGTTTAAGAGATTACATTAAATTCTTCTAAAGTTTCTTATCTGATAGTTAATTTCTTTTGGGGAATTATATTCAGAAATTATGTAAACTACATACAAATTAATCTTTATTTTGGATGTTTTTTAAATAATATATCATTATAATAATTAATTAGTCATATAAAAATAAATTTTGGCCAGGCCAGATCCTTGTACATGCCCTTTCTTATAAATTATATATATCTGGCCTGGCCAAAATTTATTTTTTCATTTAGAACAGGCATGGAAAATCATTTTAAAAAAATAGGACAAGTTTGAAAAATTAGGCTTAATGCAAACTTGATTTTATACCTATTTTCTTCAATCAAGGCTAAAGTTGCAAGAATTTCTCCCTTGGCCATGCGAGGAAGATAGGTGGATTTGATATTTTCATTATTACATTTGGTTAATCCCTGTAAAAAAATTGAAAAAAAATATTAATATAATATATAATCAAAGCTTGAATTTATAAATTTATTATATTCATTTATTAAATAATACATGGGCCCCAAAATAATTATGGGTTAGTATATTTAAGGCTATGGGAGTATTAATGGAAAGTGTTTCCGCCAACTTTGCGATTGCAGTTGCAGATAAATTCAATCCCCCTAAATATAAATTATAAATATATATTAATATATCAAACCATAATCAAAAGGAATATTTAACCCATATAGATTTAATTGTTTAAATTTTTGAATATGTTCATCTTGAATACAATTAGTTTTTTCTATTAAGTCTGAGTTAACTAAATAAGTAAACAATAGATACCCAGATATTAATTATCATATTACTGTTTGATTGAAAATATTTGTCAACATATTTATTAATATATTCTATAGATTTCTCATCTTCTAACCCAATTTCTGGATATAACAAAACATCCTAGAAAATCTATATAGATTATATAATTAAATAATTTACAGGATCAAAACTCCCACCAAAGATAATATGCAAAAATGATTCCCTGTATTTTTTTTGCTGAACTTTCTGAAGAATATTAGGTTTAATATTGATTTTTAAAGGTTCAAGGGGTTGATAATTATTAGTAATTTGAATCGATTCTTTATTATCAGTATCTAATTCCTTAAGATTTTTAAGAGCTTTTTGCAAATTATATGAAGCCAAAGAGATATTTTTCCTATGTTCATTATTAAAAATAAAAAATTTGAGATTTATTTTCCTTAGCATTTTTTTATTTTTTACACATGTTTAAAATTTTTTAGAAACAAGAAGAATTTTGATATGACGATAACATATATCAATCAAATATTTGTCTATTATTATAAATTTCCTTTTAAATTCATTGTTAACACTTATGGATTTATGTTTGTTTAGGTCTGGATCTAACAAACATACTTATTCAAATAATATACTATTCGCTTAAATAAGCGCAATGTTTTTGTTTTTTTGTTCAAATATTATATTTTTTCAATTTCATATGACCTTACAAAATATTAACGTAACATTTTATCGTATCATATCATATCATTTTCCTTTACTATATCAGACATTGTTGTAGTTAATGTGAAGCTTGTCAATCAATCAAATAAATATTTGTCAATCAATCAATAAAATATTTTTATTATTATTATATCGGTCGCGGTATTATGATATGATATGATATGATACAATGAGTATATTATTTTTAAAAATGAAATTAAATTTTGGTTATTATGTTGTAAACGGTTTAGTTCGGTCTATCCGGTAGAAAAATTTCAAGTGATAAAATTATATTTTAATCATATTTATTTACAGATTCTATGAACATTATATCTCAATATTGATAGTAGATTCCTTCACATGGATTTACAAAAAGCAAAGTTGAGTTAGTAAACAAATTTAATATAGACCATAAACTTAAAATTTACCAATACCCCTCCCTATATTATACATCTTACTTAATCGGGTACGGGCTTTTCTCTCTCTTATCTCCCGTAGGCGTTTAAGCAAGTGGTTTCGCCTCTTGCGCCCACAGGTAACTGCAGCCTGCCCAAAAATTGTGGATGGGCTCATCTCATAGGTTACCCCCAAATTTCTTAACCCAATTAGATGGGATGAGATAGTCCAAGCGTAGCTCTGCTGTTTCATATAGCGATAAAGGACAATTGCGCTTATTATGACGTATGACGTATTTTTAAAAATTTTGAAGCACATTTTTTTTTTGATTATTATATTTTTTAAAATGAATATTATATTGGACTTTTTTCGTCTGCGGGAAAATGGCTGATGTTAAATCGTCACCTCCAAGAAATAATGATATCTATCAATTCTACAAATACTTCTATCACTCACAATTTCATTTTCAAGCACACTATATTCCTTAAATATTTACTTTGCGACTACATACATTTTTTATGACATGAAAAGCTTGACTTCTACTCTTCTGAATCAAAACTCTAGTAAATTCTTTCAAATGCATGGAAGATGTTTGTGAGAGTAATGAGACTCTTTTTTAATTGCTGAGGATTATACATAACCCATAATATATCTCTGTCAAGTTGTTACTTTTATTCATTAATTTTTTTATTTTTTCTAGATTCAAAGAAATAAATTCTCTTCTTTATTTACTAATTTATCTCAATCAATTCATCATAACTTAATTCTTTCTTATCTTCTCCAATTCTTTACCTAAGCTACTATAAAGTTTAGCAAGTACCATTATAAATCATTTATTTATCTTTTATTTCAATTATTTATTTCCTTTAACAATTTATTTTTTCTATATATTAATCTTATTAACTTAATTTAAACAAAATAATATAAATCAACATTTAATATAATTACAACTTCTTTCTTAACAAAATTTAACTTTAATCCTCTCTTAAAACTCAATTTCATGGATATTTTCTTATTCATCATTTCTCTTGTCTGCTTTTTGCTTTTTCAATTTTCCAAGTATCGTTTGCTTATTTTTTCCCCATTTTTTTTCTATTTCAAAATTCAAATTTATCTTACAATTTACTTTAAAATTTATATTATGTCAATTTTCAAAAATCTAACAATCTACTCCTACAACATTCCTGGCTTACTTTCAAAAACAACTATACTTAGGAAACTCCTTGATCAATATGATATTAACATTATTTTAACACAAGAATCTCTTATTACCAATAATATAAATAAAAAAAAATAGAAAACAAAACAAAAAAGAGAAAACAAAACAAAAAAAATAAATTACAAAAACTAATTCTTCTTCCTCTTTACTCCTTAATCACCCCCCCCTCCCCTTTTTTCTAATACATATTCCTATCTTATCTTTTATAATAAATAAACATTATTTACAATGTGGAACCTGGCTTATCCACGAGTGGTACCCGTCATCCCACTCAAATTAAACGGGACCCTGACAGTAGGGTAAATTACTGTCAACTTTGTGGATCCTGGCTTATCCACGAGTGGTACCTGTCATCCCACTCAAATTAAACAGGGCCCAGACAGTAGGGTAAATTTTCTGCCAAACAGTGAATGCAAATTTACTGCACTGGAGACGCCCTCTATGGGGTGGTGGAGTGCCCACTTAATTGTGGGATGTCTCCCCAGTGTATAATATGATATATGATATGATATGATTACAATAAAGTTACTGAATAGTATTATCAAAAGCAATATCATAACAGTTGGTATACGAAATCCGGGACCTTACGCATATTTAGAAGTATTCAGGTTAATTTTTTAAGATTAATGTGTTAAAATTATCAATAAAATATAAAAATTTTATCGAAATCATTCTAAAAACCCTACTCAAATTAAAATAATTTTTATAAATATTAATATATATATGTATTCCAAATAATACTAATAATTTTGTTATTAACTATATCTTTTAATCTCCTCCTTTCCTGCAGTCATGTCCCTACCCTTCCATGAATTCCCGAGCAATCCTTAATCAAATAATCCTCCTTGCCACATCTAAAACACCTTCTATACCCCTCCATATTTCTCACATCATCTACTACACTGCATTCTCTACTGATATGCCCCTCTCTGCCACACCTGAAACAACGTACTCCTTTCACTACCTTCTTTCCCATAACCTCCATCTCCGCCCTCTTTCCACCCCGATTCCTACATTACAATTCCCCATCACATACTCTCCTCACACTTATCCTTCCCATCCAAAACCCCACATAATACACTACTAAAACTATTACTAACACTATTATTACTAACACATGTAATTGATTAACAGTGTAAAACAAACTCAAAATTTAATCTAAGATATTCTAAAGGTCTGATTTGATAATAACAAAATTCTTGTTAAAATTATCAATGTATAAATAATATAACACATTAATCTTAACAAATTAACCTACTTCTAAATATGCGCAAGGTCCCGGATTTCGTGTACCAACTGTTATGATATTGCTTTTGATAATACTATTCAGTAATTTTATTGTAATAATATTAAATCATAATACCACGACCGATATAATAATAATAATATTTTATTGATTGATTGACAAGCTTCACATCAACTACAACACCTTCACCCTCCCTGGTTTAATCCCGGGTTTCGGCACCAAATTATTATAAACGGTCACAAAGAGAGGCTATTATATCATATTATATATTTTGTATATGAACAAATGAATATCAAAATCCGAATAATAATTTATTGACATATTCTTAACATTACATCGAAATTTATAACAAAAAAATAAAACTTTAATTACAACATTTATAATCCTTTGTAATATACTAAGGAAAAATGGATATATTATTGAAGAAAATAAAGATAATATGATTTATTATTTTAAACTAAACAACTAAACAAACTAATAATATAAGCAAAAAGCAATAAAAACAAAATTTTAGAGTTATGCGTTGCATTCTTTTAATCCCTTGATATTGAATTACTTTTCTTTAATTACTAAAAAAAATTAGATCAAAATAAATATAACAAAAAAAATATATAAAAGTTAAATTAAAATCAATAGATTGATTATATTGTATAAATACAATTTTAACCAAAAAAGAATAATAATTAATCTATCGATGAAATTAAATGATACTTTAAGGTTAAAGCTAATGTAATAAAAAAATCGCGTTAAATCAAAATGTCTTTAGAAAATGATAAGTAAAATATCGACCACATTAACAAGTATCGACAAAAAAAAGGGATATATATGAGGAATATTAAATTTAATAAAATAAAGTAATAGAACACATTTTAAATTTAAGGCCTATACTACTTAATCCTGTTTATCTTGGGAGCTATAGATGTATAATAAGAACTAGATAGCATGATTGGCCCATTAATGGTCTCACTTTTTTCAGCCTATAAAATTTTCTTTATTTTAGTGTAATTAGGGGTATAAAAATAAGATAAATATTATTCGAAAGAATCGAAATACGATGGATAATTACAAAATTTATTAATATATTTTACATTTATAAGATACAATTTTCTAATTTTTATATTTTATGAAATTTTTTAAAACAATCAATATGTAATTGGTATATGAGATATGACACATATTACATATATATCTTGTCTTGCAGTTGTGTTTTGTTAACGGTAATAGTTTTTACATAATTACCATAAGAATTTTCAGGTGCTTTGGTGGAGAAATTGACTAGAATGGTCCCTACTTGGGAGTTTTCAAATGTCATAGTTATTTCCTACCGAAATGTAAGTAATAATTTTTATTATCAGGATTCACACAATTCCATAACTTTTACGAATTTACTACTGCTACGTCAATAAAATTGCTAAAAATGGACCACAGCCATTTTTTACCTTGTATATATATCAGAGACCTGCAGGCCCGGCCCTAAGCCCGGATAGGGCCGGGCCGTATTTATAATTTTTTAATATACCCGGGCCGGGTCGGGCCTAAAAAAAATTTTTTTAAACATATCCGGGCCGGGCCTAAAAAAATTTTTTTTAAATATATCAGGGCCGGGCAGGGCCTAAGATTGTTAAACCCGGGCCGGGCCTTAATATTTTTTATAAAAATTTTTACATTCTGAGTTAATGGTTATAATATTATATTATATTATAGTTATGATTAATATAATATTGGGTGATGGTTAACGCTACCTAACAACCCACAGATCGATCTTATTATTAATTTCCTGCAAATTTATTCAAAGTATTAATATATTTTTTTATAATTCATATCTAAATTTTTACAACATATTTTACCAAAACAATCAAATAAATGAATATCTTAAATAAGCCCCAATATTCAAGTATTATTAATATATTTTTTTATAATTCATATCTAAATTTTTAGAATATATTTTACCAAAACAATCAAATAAAGGAATATCACTTCTTAAAGTTTGTAATACCTTTCAAAGCGAAAAGGAGAAATAAAATTGATTTTACTTAATATAAAGCATTTTTTAATTGAAAAATTTGTTTTACACAAGTATCATTTATTTCTCTTTTTCTCTGTCCCAAATTCAAGCAATTACGTATGTAGTCAGGGACAGATCGCAAAATGACGGAAAAATATATAAAAGATTATATTAAATTACAAGAGGCTCAGGAAGTAAATGAAATACCATCGACCAGTCAAATTACCACTGTTGTTAAACAAACTGAATCGTTTTATGACAAATGGGGCGATGGTAATTCTGGTAATATGTCAATACCCGATGATGAATATTATAATTACATAAATAATAGATAAAACATTTAAGGTGGATAATTTGTTAGAGTGGTGGGCGGCTCATCAAAGCGAATTTCCAATTTTAGCAAAATTGGCAATTTCTGCTTTAAGTGCAAGCTGTGAGCGGAATTTTTCCACTACTGGGAGAATTCTTGAAGAAAGAAGAAGTAATCTTCAACCTGAAAAGGTAGATATGCTTCTCTATCTTCATGATAATTTGTGAATTTTTAATATCTTTCTTGAGTATAGGTTTTCGTCAATCATGCTGGTTTTTTACTTTGCAAACTGTCAAATATTTATTGCATTTATTATATTTTACCTTGAGTCATAAAAGTTTTTAATCCAACATTTTTCATTATTTTTTTTTACAATATTATAGTTAAAAATTTATATTATAAAATAAATTATATTAATATTGTGTAATTAGATTATATTTTCAAAATACTATTTATTATACATGCATTTTTT